CTTTTATTTAAGGAAATACGGTATAGTAATACAGCTTATCTGTTTCAACTTTTTATATGGATCTAGTACCTGTTGTACTGTCTCTTAGTTGATTTTATAATCAAAAGCTGTTACAATCTCTTTATGACACCTTCTCCCTTTCCCTTCCTTTCCTTGTCTGACATTAGTTTATTTGTCACAAAATAATAATAATAATTGAAAATAATTGATGAAAAAAATATTAATATCTATGCGAAAACAAAATTGACTTTATCCCTAATAGAAAAACACTAATAATCAGCAAAAAACAGAAACAAAACAGAATAAAATGGAATGTTAGTTGTTACAAGAAGTTGGTACATCTTCTCCATTTATCCTCCTAATCTCACATACCAGCTCAAAAAGTCTGGACTTACAAGAAAAGCAGGCAGAACTGCAAGTATCTAAAAGATTACAAGTTATATGGAACAGTTGATAGTATTATAGTCATACCTGGTGGTATATCATTCAGTGAAAATATATATGTCCCTGGTATGTTGCTATTAAGCATCATAGTGGGAGCTTTGGTAACAGTGGTACCAAATGGAAAGAAAGAAGGATCAGCTGGTACAGAATTTGAATTAATGTTTGAAGATAATCCAGTCTCATCAGCTGATGTAACGTGTACATCAACATAGAGTGCAATACCAAATGTAATGCTTCCATTAGTAACAATTATTGCCTGGAAGTTACTGCCCTAAAAATAATAAATAAAGTGATTAGAGTGTAGCTAGCTATTATTAACAGTAGTTCATGTATTAAGTAATTAATATACTAACTGGGTTTGAGTCATCTTTTTCATAATCTATCCAAGTTGCTATTATTAATTGTGTAGGAGGAGATGTACTGCAGAAAGTATTAGGAAATCCTTCATTAATCTGATCCATAGCTCTCTTTATTAATCCTGAATCAGCAGTAGTCCTACCATATATTTTATTATAGGAATAAGCACCTCTAGTTTTGAGCAAATGCAATCTGATATAAGCAGTAAACTCATGTCGAAAGTCAATGGATCCCCTGCTTCTAACCTATAGATAGTTTATTATTTAAATGTAATATAAACTGAGAAGTGATCATTAAATTGTATTACTAATAATGGTTAGTGTATAATTATTGCATTATAAGTAAAGCACTATATAATAATAATGCGTGTGTGTAGCTACTAACTGAATAATATTGTAGTGTAAATCCAGCTTGACCAAACCTAACGAAATTATCAATTGGAGGCTGTATTGATTTCTCACTGAGACCAATATATCTAGTACTCATGGTGTCCCCATGTTCTGTGCCATATGGGTAAAGGTCATTAAGAGAAAGACCATTTGTATAACATGTACTCAGTATAACCTGTAAAGATAGTACCATACACTATCATATATATTGTATCTTACTAGTATAACTTGAGTTAGTGATCCCATTATAAACAGATAGTTCTTTCACAGCTAGTGCGTATGATGAATTCAGCTCCTACTGTCCACCACTTTTATAGAAACTGAATAGTATGTAAATAAAACATTGAGTTTAATAATGAGATGATAGTCCAGTGTGTATACTAGCTGCATGGTGGTGCCAGGGCTGTGTTCATTGATAGCATCAAACAAGTATACAGAAACCAGTCCAGGACGTTTGATGGATAGACCCAGTTACAATACTGTATGTATGTTCACTAATTGCAGTTACCACCACTCCTTACCACTCCTATGCTTGTATAATCAACTTGCATGATGATAGATGATGGTATGATTTCTTAATGATCACTAATTTCAGGAGTGGCAATGTTTGCATTCTTTACCTAGTAGTGTAGCTTACAATACTGTAGTGTATATAGTTAGCTTTGAAATGGGCCCAACAGGAGCCTCACCTTAGCACACAAACCAGTCACAGGAGTGGAAATGTTTGCATTCTTCAATACTAGAGGTGCCAGGATCTTTAATGGATAGCTCCAGTTACAATGCTATATGTATGTTCACTAATTGCAATTACCACCACTCCTTACCACTCCTATGCTTGTATAATCAACATGATGGTATGATTTCTTAATATTCAATATTTAGAGGAATGGATATTATTGCGTTCTTCACCAATCCTTTGTTATGTAGCTACATTAATGAAGCACCATGGTGCGTGGACTCGCCTGCTGAGATTCACCTGAGGGATAATGTGTTACTTGTACTGCCCCCATCATGATATTATATATATATATATATATATATATATATATAAGCAACTTGATATTTGA